AAATATTAGTAAAATATTGCTACGAAACTCTTAAGAGTTTCGGCTTTAAAGATGTTCTAAGGTTTCTACCAGTTCTCTGGCCATGTCGTCCGTATCTCTCCGTTCTTTGTCGAACATAAGCGAGACTTCTAGCCAGTTTATGGCGGCCGATATAGTCAATTTAGATACTAAAATCTCGATGCCCTTTTCCCTTTGCAACAATCATATGGTCAAGATCTTCAAGATATTGATGAACAGGACGTCGACCCGTCTAGCCGGGCTACTAGTGATGACGAGGGACAAGAAGAATTTATCTACAACATTTGTCCTTCTAAGTGGAAAGTTGGGACCCTCGAGGCTCTAAGGGTTTATTGTGAGATGTCTGACGATCTGAAGTTTGGAGCTCCGACATCAACTGAACGCCCCTTGGGATCCCTGAAGGGTACATATGTGAACATGAGGCGATGTTCAGATACTGCCACCTCTGGTTCCTGTTGTCGTACTAGTTCGTGAAGTACTGCGAGAACCGGGAAGTCACTTTCACGCAGGTGACCACAGTCTGCACATGCTATCTGGTCGGTCTAATGGTCCTTGGTGCCGAGATCGACTATTGCTTGAGAAGTTTGAGAAGGTCTCGCTGCTTTACCATTGCTTTAAGGTCGGCCGTTTTTAAACCACCATGAGGTTTGAGTGTAAATTCGTAATGGATTTCAAGAGCAAAACCGCCAGTTGGGACAAGAACGGTTGGGACAATAAATACTTCTTCGTGAAGATCAACTTCGCTTTAGTTTTGTATTTGACGAAGCATTATAGGAAGGATTGGAACCCTACCATGGGTAGATGCTTTATGTGTTGTACGACTTCCATATATATCTGAAGCTAGTTTCCTAACCTTTTTATTTTTGTGTCAATTCGACATCCTTCCTTCAAGCCTCTGATGGATATGCCGTTTACAACTATCCTCAAGAAGTTATGGACGTTTGGCATCCTCCCTTCAAGCCTCTCTTCGACCGATCGTTGATAGTCTTAATGCTCGTTGTTGACTTCTCCTCGAACTGTCATCGAACAGTTCTTAGTAAATCAGGCATAACTTGAGTCACTATTAGAAGTCTAGGATCTGATATACAAGTTGAAACTAACACTCCTAGCTATCTTGTGGTAAAATATAAGTTTCATCCTAAGGTGGAAATGTTTCCATCTGATGCAAATTATTTGGTGCTCATGATCTGTCCTATCTTTAAATTGCTTGTTTTTCACTTTTTGGTCTAAAATGGTCTAATTTACTGTAAAAATTCTACGATCTACAAAACATGAAATACACCAATAATTAAAGTGTCGAAACCAAGTAGTTTTCTGTTAAAACCTAATAAAAACGGTAAAACATGATGTATCAGGA